AATTTTAATTAGGAAGAAAAGTTTTCACGTGGTGTATAGAGTACTAGAATATCGCGTAGGATGGAATCGATTCTGACTTTTCACTACAGAAAAATCTACTGCATAGTGGTTTTTGGCGAGAATAAAATTCAAAGATTAGCGCATAACCACGAATAAAATCAGAGCCGTAGTAGTATTTAAGGTATAAACGCATGTAAGTGACCTTGGAAACGTATGATATTGAAATACAATTGTTGATGATATTATGCATGTCGTTCGCTTCAAGAACTGATCACTTTGGGTTTATTATACCCACTCATTAATCAGAAATATAACTGAGAACATAAGATGGGCGAAATACCTTTCGACAATATATGTTGTAAATTTGTTTTGTTTTGCTAATTAATGCACGTGTATGAGGACAATAACTCTCAGAATTCAGATCTTCAGTACTCTGATACCTTGTTTGTTACTTCTGTTTGGTCTGACTACAATCTGTTATGCTTTGTAACATTCTATCGTCTCAAACCATGGCTTGTAAATAGGGGCCATTATCAACTTATTAATAGTATTACATACTTGAAAGCAAAATGAGTGAAATGGATTTTTGAAAGTATACTGCATGTCTTATAAAACTATAAGACACGCGATGTAAGATAAAGCATTCTGTAAAACAGTGAAATTGGTTGAAACAATAAGTATCTCAAAATCTACAATTATTGAATGATGCAAAATAGATTCATATTTTCGAGCAGGTCAGTAACACGAAATAATTAGAAAGATGTTTAGACAAACTCGTAGTAGAGTACTGTAGGATAAACGGAACTATAGTTGTCCAAATTTTGTTCATAATCTCACTATTTCTCATTCATCTCTAGTCGGAAAAATTTTGTATTAAGACGGTTCATATAGTCGCTCATCAAAATATGTTAAACACGCGAACCATTTAAATATTGTGGGGATCATCCATTTAACGAATACATATGTCGGAGTGAGGTTGGAGTCTAGGCGAATTTGAAGTCGCCTAGGTGGGATTCCAATCCCAATATAAACTGATAAACTGGACTAGGTGAATTCAGAATTTAAATCCACGATGCAGTGTTCGCATAAGGTAAGGAGTAGAATATCTTGTGCTATCCAAATTTGCTAAAAGCTTTCTACACTGCGAAGTTTTGATGAAGCCGATTTATTTAAAAAGGTATACATAGACGAGACTGGTAGTATCAATCCATGAAGGAGCGTCTACAATTAAAACTGGCAGCATCTCAATCGTCCATAATGGATTTCCGATGCAATTTTGCGGTTAGACATAAAAAATTTATCGTAGAATTTTTATTCAGCAGCACTCATCGTTAATGTACTAGAATTTTAAAATATCTTCATGTATTTAAATGGATTAACTGCCATTTCCTTTGAATATATGTCAGTGTCTGAACTCCGATCCAGGCCAATCTCACATTGGCCTAGGCGAAACTTAACTCTCTAGTAATCAAAAAAATCTCTTTACTACCTTCTTCAATGAAAAACAATCAAATTAGTGACGAAATGCGATCTGAATGTAGTCAAACAGCAGATGACAATAGTGACATAGTTGTGAGCAGTGTTGTTGATGTTTTAACATTACCGTCAATACCGACTCCTACAATGTCAAGTACTTCTGATTTCTCGCGGTACATTCCTCTAGTTATTGTTTAAAATGCAGCGTCCCACAGTAGTTCTATTAGTGTAATAATACTATGAATACATCAATAGATGCCGCAATTTCACGGACAGATGATGCATCCATGAACATGACATATGATGTTAACGATTAACTGGATTTTGACAAAGCTAGTCCATCAGATCTTGATTTACTAAGTTCACAATATAATAATATTAGAGAGAAATCTGTAGCGATATATTTGGCTAATGTTAACAAACAAATAACAGTTCGTAGTAAACATATTCAACAATTATTGAAAAATTGTTTAGTTGGTGATTTTGTTAGTATTAAAACAAATAAAGTTTATAGAATAAACACTGATCTAAAATTATTACTATGTGTTGTCATAGATAAAAAAATAAAGTGTTAAAGTAGCATGTGCAAACGGGATACTTAATCGATGGTGACTAATAGAGTCAGTAGTTCTTCTGACTGCAGTACCATAAAAATTAGTTAATTTAAAATAAGTGTTTTAAAAGAAATAGCAGCTTCCAAACTTTTTGTTCGTCGTGCCGTTAATTGTATAACGTGTGTATGAAAGGGTGGCTGTAAAAATAACCAATGTGCATGTAGAAAAAATAAAGTGTTTTGTTCAATGTTATAAACATATAAAAGCGGTTAAAATCAAGAAACATAATTTTCTTGTCGTTGTACGTGCGCATTTCTTTGTGTATACGGAATTGTCAAATGCTTACCCATATACACTCATATTCATTGAAGTAGAATTGATCTAAGCATCTATTTTGGCCTAGTTTAATCTAATGCGGGGGCTTCGCGAACTGGCACATTCGCGCTCTACACGACCTTTTCTTTGCAAAGTTACAGAATTTTCAAAAAAGCCATACATTTATTTCTTCGTATTTCTGTAGCTTTGAGCTGACAATGAACATTTAGGGCTCTTCTTGTAAATTCTATAACTTTGCAAAGAAAAGGTCGTGTTGAGCTGAGAGTTGTCTCATTTTAATCAGAAATTTGCGGGCTACAAGTATGCCTCATTAAGAAAGGTTTTGGTTATTTTTTAGAGTTTCTGAACAACTGGTTTTCCAGAAAACCACTTTCATAAAGCCACTAAGCAGCTTCTACTATGATATTCGAGTTTAGCATAGTTGATAACCTATAACCCACCAGGTTTGGCTGAATGTGACAGTTTGCGAGGTCTTCTCGTAAGAATCAGAGTTGACACTGTTACAATTGCAGACCAAACTAGGATCGGAACTTGGACTGATTCAAACTCGGATTAAAGTTTTGCCCAGACCCAATCTGAGCTTGGTCTGGATCGGAGTTCGGAGGCTGATATATATATACAGAAAAGCAACATTCATTCCAAGAACTTCTTACATTAATGTGGAGACAACGAATGCATCTGCCGCTCTTGTTCATGTCGGAGCACTGAAATTATGAACACAATTTGAACGATGTACTCTGTTTAATACATTTAGTACTGCACCGAGCATGGAATAAGATGAGCAGGTCAAAATCTTGACTCAGTTTGTTCAATAAAATCCTATGAAAATTGAGTTTAGTAAATTCTTTTCAATCTTTTCCTACAAAATCCTTTAGTTTTAGGTAATATCTAACAACTTATTTTAAGCAACAAAAATAAAAATAATTTGACGAGTATTTTGTTGTAAATGTACAAGAGGATTTCATGGAATATTCCATTCTATGAGATGGGACGGAGATGCGGTCTCATCCCATGAATCCTCAAAATGAACTGTTAGTCTATGATTGTATGGCCTGTCGTTTTATAATATATCGCTACTATACCATTGTTCGCTCAAATTTTAGCAAAAACTGTCCATGTAAATATTTTCGAGTCGGAAACGCGTTTTTGTTTGCGTTTAATCGCTGTAAATATGCACCATTTGCCGCTATCTGGACGCGTCCAAACGCGCTTTTTTAAAATTTTTAAATTTTAATTCTTTATTCGAAAAAAGTTTTTTTCGTTCAACTAAAATTTCTGTAATGAAGGTCTTATAGCTATTAGAATGAAGAGGAGGAGAGAACTTAACTGGCATGAAAGAAAGACAAGTGTAGAAGATGCACTTACGGTGATTCGAATATGCGACCTTGAACAGAAAGAGAAATTACAAAGCAAAGTACTTACCGCTCAGCTAACTGAGCCTGGTACTTGCTCTATATTTTGTCAGTCTGTAGGTTTCGAAATAAGAGTAAACGAGCAGGAAAAGGATGAAAGCAAATATTTTGTTTATAGTACTTCTTCCTGAAATTCCCAGAGAAAACGTGTTTCTTAGAAACTTCTCTTCAAAACTGGTATTTCTGCGACTCTTTTTGTTAGTGTTGAGCGTATTCTAAATATTTCATTAGATGTACCACTTACAATTTAGAACTTCTTTATTTTGCACATACTTTCTTTATTTCTATACCAACTCTATACTGCACCATAAACACCCTAATCTTTGTAGTAAAAAAAATGTGAACTGAACACAATAAGAAAGAAAAGAAACACTTGTATATCAGCGTGAATATGAGTTTTCAAAGAACAACAGAACGCGTCTGGACGTCTCTTTTAAACAGAATGAAAAGAGATGTGTTTAAACGCGTCTTATTTAGATACGTCTAGACGCGACAAACGTTTTCTGACTGAACAGGATGCGTCTGGATGCATCTTTCTATAGCAAAAGAAACTCGACACACTTAAACGCGTCGAAAAGCTTCAAACTAGGTCTGACGCGTCTGGACGCATCTTTTACTGAAAAAGAAAAGAGACGCGTCTCATTCTAACGCATCTAGACATGTCAGGAATAGCTCGGTGCAGCTGCGCGTTTCTCTAGGGAAAGATAAATAAACTAACTAAATAAAGTTTAGAAGAAGTACATCTTAACGCGTCTAATGTTTTTCCTATAAAAAAACGCGTTCAAACGCGTCTAATGTTTTTCCTATAAAAAAACGCGTTCAAACGCGTCTTATTCTAACGCGTCAAGACGCACCAAATTTGGTCGCGTACAGACGAGTTTTGTTTCAAAACGACACGAAAAATTTTCAGACGCGCTTAAACGCGCCGCATGCAAACGCGTCTTTTCGAAATCAAACGCGTTCCTTCAGACGCATTCGACTTACATGGGTGGCTGTGCTTAGAATCACAGAACATATCGATAGTTTGTTTCATAAGACATATGGAAACAACATAAAAGATTTATGAAAAATTTGAAAATAGTCAACAATCAAGCCATCTCAAGATGAATTTTTGATATGCAACCACCTATTACTCAATTAGACAACTTCGACAGCTTGAAAATAGGTAATCAACAGAATAAATAAAACACAATAAGGTTTAGTGAAGAAAAGGTGAAGGTCATCACACACCATCAGATGAGACCTTTTCCATAAAGACTAATGTTGTATGAGTAACAAAATTTTGTATAAAAAAATTAACGTTATTTTCAGACGATAAATTGTCACTGCCGACCTAAAGATCAGCTAACAACAATTTGTATTTTATTGATTAAAATTAATTAACAAGCTCAAACTTTTATGTTGATTGACATGAATTCAAAAATAAGTTGTGACTGGATGCCTACCTACTCTATCATCTTTTTGACTATTATTTATTTGTTGAAATCTTGATTCCATGAGGCTTTTGAATGTTCCATCCGCGTACGCTTGAACACCAAATATCCAGTGGTGTGCAATGGAAAAAAAAAACATTTCTACACAAATCAAAACGCTTGAAAGTAAAATTTTTTCTTGTTCAACACTGAAGCCATTTATTGATCCATTACAATTTACATTAACATTAGGATCACAACTTTGATTTCGCAACACATGTATGGCAGCTAATCCACTCATCAATACCGATTGCCAAAATGTAAAAAAAACAATTGCTTTTATAACGAGAAACTTAGGTAATGGCTTGAACGGCTTCAGTTCTTCTTTTGTATTCATATAAAACGTAACTAAACAATACATTGCTAATATTTGACTGAAGTTTATAATAAACGTTATGTATGGATATCCTCGAGAAAAAGTCCAGTTTCCATTATCGTAGACGCCAGCCAAATTCAGTACCACAGCAATGCCAGATACAGTTGGTGTAATCCACGCGTATTGCAGAAGACCCCATTTTATGTACCAGATCCACCTTGGTGTTGCTGGAACAGTACAACAACAATTGAATGGAAATGGTAATTTAATGAAACTTTTATTTGCGATGATTTCTTCTACCCCTTTGTGTCCTCCTAAATACTTGGTTAATAGCAAGAGAAAACAATAAATAATATAAGCTTCGTAGCACGCTTGGATAAATTCCGCGTAAATTGCTGATTGTAAAAACACACAAGAAAGCCATGCTGTTAATGCATAGATGGGTATCATAAATAGAATACGAATAACACGTTTTTGCGATGGTCGATGTGTATAATGAATGAAATGATCAATGACTTGAACTAATGTCATTAATGAGGCTAGTACGGAAAAAATACCTGCAATGACTGATATTAAAATTTGTTCATGTTTGGGATCTTTTAACAACTGCCATTCTACCGGTCTGTTGACTAACCAAATAATGAGAAGAATCAATGCACAACATAGGAGCAGAAATACACCCCAGATCACTTCATTTGTCAATATATTTTTAATTTTTTGTGTTTTTGTGTTGGCATGTGGTATTGGTATAGATTCCTCTGGAATCTGATGAGGATGCATAATATGATTAGAATTACTCATCAGTAATGAATTATTTCTATTATTATATTAGGCTCTTCCAGTCTTCAGGTTAATCAATGGTAACATTCTTTTTACTTTCATTGCCAAATACGATGAGATTGATACTGTTCTTTTGAACTGAAAAAAGAGAAAATCTATCAAATAAGAAGTTAATTTCAAAAATGCAACCAAGTGGAATGAATGTTGTTACAAATCATTCATTAGAGTTAGCACGATGACAAGTCCTTACTTTTAAATTTTACTTCATATCATTGATTCCATAAAATAAATTTTTTTTACGATAGTTACGTAAAAAGTAGCATATTCTAGCAATTGTCCTACAATTCAGAATTCTTATGGTAACACCCACAAGAAAAACTGAAGGTTTTCTCCTTAACAGAAAAACAGTTCTATAAAAAGAAACAGTAACCGTCAGCAGTCTTTGAACAAAAATGCTCAAACATTATCAGCAAACAAGACATGATGTTTATCAACGGATGTAGAAAAACTCCATCAACTTTTATTACAATTCCTTCTAAAACAGAGGATCTATCCGCGTGTTTTCTGAATAACTTTTGAAGGACAGCTGCAGAAAAAATGAAAAAGCTGCAGTTTTCAGTATTTTGTAGAGAAAACTTTATTCTATGTTCTCATGTATTTTGTGTTAAAACTCTCTGTATTGCATGTGAGAGCACTCGATGTGTGAAAAATATGAGTTTGCCAGATTTTCTAACTGCGATGAATATATAATTGTGGTACAATGGCTAGATAGCTCAAGGAGCCTTCTGTAATTCCGCACAAGTAAGAAAATATTTTTTAATAATTTTAAGTACATAACAAGATTGAATAGATAAAATACTATGGTACCTTTCGAAACAAAATGTTCAAGCCTGTCGTTCCAAAAATCTACATAGGAAAGTACCGCTCTAAACATATGTGGATATACAACAGATGTCGCTCTACGTCCTTCTAGCATCTTCATTTCTCAACCAAATTGCTTCAGATTTTCAAAACTCACTCAGTTTCGACTGCTGTACAGTTGAAGAATGTTAAATTATCTTATACTGAGATTTCACCCGAAGTTCTTAGAAGTTTTCTGAAATGCCTGTAGATGATCCGCTTTGTTTTTGGTAGTTCTGGTCGTGACATCGGATAAAACACCTTCTCTTATACTCACTCTTCAACTTTCATGGAATTTGGTTGAGAAATGAAGATGCTAGAAGTTTTTTAGTTTAGTACGGTCACAGCGAAAAAATCAAATTTTCTTAATATTTCGTCGTTTAAAGTTTGTTTAATCTGTAGAACAAAACAACGAGATTCACTGTGTTTGAAAACCGATGTTTCATGTGTTTAGGATTTCCAGACTTCAGATTTACCCGATAGATAGTTCCCGAAGATTACCTGCAGCGCCCGAATCATGGCAGATGGAGACTTACGACTTACGCCAGATTATAGAGCCACATCTGTTGTGTATCCACATATGTTTAGAGCAGTACTTTCCTATGTAGATTTTTGGAACGACAGGCTTGAACATTTTGTTTCGAAAGGTGCCATAGTATTTTATCTGTTCAATCTTGTTATGTACTTAAAATGATTAAAAAATATTTTCTTACTTGCGCGGAATTACAGAAGGTTTCTTGAGCTATCTAGCCATTGTACCACAATTATATATTCATCGCAGTTAGAAAATCTGGCAAACTCATATTTTTCACACATCGAGTGCTCTCACATACAATACAGAGAGTTTTAACACAAAATACATGAGAACATAGAATAAAGTTTTCTCTACAAAATACTGAAAACTGCAGCTTTTTCATTTTTTCTGCAGCTGTCCTTCAAAAGTTATTCAGAAAGCACTCAAACAGATTCCTCTGTTTTCAAATGAATGGTAGATATTTTTAAAGCACAAGTAGAATAAAAGCATTTTTCTTTTCTTAATATCTTGAGCGCTATCTTACTTTTAAAATTATTAATATTATATTAATATATATAACAAGTACGCTCACTTATTGAGAATTATTTTATTTACAGATTAAAAGAAAATCTCAGACTCAGGTCTAATTTAACTTAAGTTCAAAGAAATAAGTTATTGAACATATTTTTCACTCACACATTTTGTACATAATAACTTTATTTTTTGTTTTGTGTTTTGACAAGTATTATATAGGTTTTACAATGTCACACACCTATGTCTCAGTGTGTATGAATAATTTGCAAATTGCTATTCATCATTTTTTTCATTTATATAAAAACGCGCATGCAACCTCGGATATTTTCATGTGTTAGAATAATTATCCACGGAAAAAGCTCAAGAAATATTAAAAAGAAAATGAACCCCTCAGTCTTTTCTCGCAACAAATAAAAAGCTTATTTTTTTCCATTAAAAGAAAACTGTTAAGTAGGATAGAAAAAAATTGCAATATGAATATGTTAACAACAGAAGGAAAGTTAATAACTGGCGTTTTATGTACGTTTTGCCTTTACATTTTCAATAGTAGAAAAAAAAACTTATTTTACTGCTTTACAGAATAATAAAAAAAAAGTAGAAAGTAGAGCATACGCTCGTTGTCACTCATTTTTTAACGAAAAAAAGGGAACTCAGCTGTTTTACAACATTTTTTGTTCTTGTTTCGAGTGACGTAGTGGAATCGTTCGATGACAGTAATATCATTTCTGTGTAATTCGTAGTCTGACTAATACTACTTCACTTATATGTTTCTTATCGATGAACAGAGACGTCTACGCTATGACAAATTTAAAACATGATGTCTCAAATAAAAAATGAGGTGATACACTTCGAAAAACTTTTTGCCACCACGCCAAATAAAGAAAAAGATTGAGAAATTGAGTGGGAGAGTTGAAGTTAATGTTGAAAGGCGTTTAGGGGAATAAAGAGGCATTGTTTCTCTTAAAATGCAAAGTGGGACGTTTGCAGAATATAGAAGTGGAACATGTTAGGATTTAATTACCATTGAGTACTTTTGTACTCATCTGTTTCTTGCAGCGCATCAACGTAGTTTCAACTTTTTCGTCCTTCTAAGTTTTACTTATCATTTTTTGTTATATACACACACAAAAGAGTTAGTCAAAACACACAGATATCATTTTTTGGTAACATACTTAAATTTTAAATGAGTACAAAGCTGTTTAGCTATCTTACTATCTTATTGTGTTACTCTTGCTCCCTTAGTCCTCGCGAAAGAAATTTCCCGTGAGATTTTTTAATCTTGATGTTATTGTGATAATTCCGTCTTCAATACACTCGAACATGTCGCAAAATCATCAGTAAGCTTCTCTCTGTTTAATTCATTAATTAACACTATATTTGCCAGATGGGATAATTATTAGTGGTATAAACCAGTCATCCATCATTGTACGATCCATCGAGTTTTAACTACACAACAACTTTGCTCAACGCTGTTTCAGCGCTGCAGCTTGTAACGGGCAACACCGTTAAGATTTTTATAAATATACATTAACTGTGGGTAACACTTGTGTCTCATTATCCGTAATGGTTTTGTAAAACTATTTGAGAACCATAGTTTTATTCTTCATTCTATTTCTGAATTAATCATTATTTTAGTTTTTGAACGATCTTTCCTTTCAAACTGATTTTCCTTTCCGCCTTCATTGCTTTCTGGATCTTGATTCATCGTCCTTGTTCTTACTTTCATCCTTTACTGCTTCCCTTACATACTGAGGTTCGAAATCTGATAGGTTTTCGCTCAACTGAGGTAAAACAGAGCAGTGCAGTGCGATGCTTATCATTTTTACCAAAAATAATTCAGCAGAGCTAGTTAGCGAAAACTTTGTGCACCAGTTGGTAGAAAAATATTCATGCTATTAAAGATACATCGACATTTGAGCCTAACGTAAAGAACAACAAAAATAAATAAATAAAAATAAGTAAGGTGCTCCAAATTCGAAAGGTAAGCAGAAAAATAGATATCGTTGAAACATACATGGTTGAATAGAGCTCATCGAGCTGGTTCCGAATATCGCCTTTTTATCGAACTCTGATCAAGTTTTGGGGAGAAATCCTCAAAAGGTCACAAAAAGTGA